TTTGAACAAGGATTCCACTTGTGACTCGAATTTAAAGTACAACTTTCATAAAATTACAAGGCAATTATTGTTCAGCAAGGCTATTTTGCCTATCTTAATTTATCTAGCTATAAATATCTTGATTTCATTACTTAAAATCCCAGTTGGTTTTCATTTTTTTATGTTGTCTGAAAGGCTGGTCTGTGTGTTAATTACTTTTCACATGCAAAATTAATTTCTTTTTATGCATTTGTGGGGTGTGGGCGTCGCTGGCTGGCCAGCATTTCTTGCCCATCCCTAGTATTTCTTGATACAGTCAAATATGTTTAAAAATCTGAACTGGTGTCCCATATATTCTACTCAATCAATTTGATTTATTCTATGCAGTGAATATCTAGCTCAGGTTTAGAATATATTTCAGTTTTAGAATACAATTAAGAATTAAAGTTTAACTGTAAAAATTGAGATAAATGCAATTAATAGTTGAAATGTCTGATGTTTAAAAGGTTAGGGCATGTTGCCTTCAGAGGTTAACATCTAGAAAGGTAATATCATAAAACTGTCAGTAAGCTTATTTTGTGAAAGAGTTTGAGATGTGCAGTTCAGAGAAATAGCAAGAACTGCAGATGCTGGAGTCAGAAATAACAGTGTGGAGCTGGGGAAGTACAGCGGGCCAGACAGCATCAGAGGAGCAGGAAATTTGATGTTTCGGGTCGGGACCCAAAATGTCAACTTTCCTGCAGTTCAGAGAGATGTTTTATTTTATTTTAAATAAGTTTGAAACAATTCAGTAAATCCTAAAAGGTTGGAAAACCCAGTTACTTCATCATATTGAAGAAGGTATTATAAATTAAAGAAAAACTGGAGGAAACCCTTTCTTCATCAAGCCTGCTCTATCACTCAACCAGATCATGGCTGGTCTACCTCAACATTATTTTCCCACAGTATCTTCATTTTCCTTTATTCTTAATAGCTGGAAGTCTGTTGATCTTGCTCTTGAATATTTTCAATAACTTACGTTTTCCACACTTCTCTCGAGTACAGACTTTCAAAGATTTATGATTGTCTGAATGAATAAAAACTCGTCCTCATCTCAGTTTTAAACTTATTCTGAGACTGCAAGTTAATTTAAACATCAATTTTAGTATAGTTCAGAGCAGGCTATATCAACCTGGTGATGGATAGAGTTCAATCAGTTTCTCTAGTTTCAGTTTGTCACAAACATTTCCTCAAAAAGTTAGTTGCAGAGTATACCTCATGTGGTTTGCAGAAGGTGGTTAAATAAATGTTAAGACCTGCATTGTAAGCTATTTTCATCATTGACCGTTACGTAGGTGAGATTTAAATTCAGTTTTAATTTTGTGAGGGATTAGAAGATGGAAGATTGTCAAGTTTAAAGGCAGTAGGCCTCTCAGTGTTATTGCAAAAGAAACTGGAGTAGTTTGGAGTACTGGAAAAGTAACCAGAACAAAGGACTGAGGTAATCAGATTTTTTTAAAAAAGATTAACAACTCCTAGGGAGATTGTCACAACTACTGTTCTCACACCAGTTAGGAATAACCTTAGATGCCTCCTTTCCAGTCCTCAATTTTTCCTTATAAGTCAAACATTTGAGATTATGAATCAGTCCTTTCTCTTCACTAGTTCTAATGCTTGAATATCTCACCCTTGTGGTTCATTAACTAGATTTGAAAGAACTGATTAAGCATAAAGTAAAACAGAAGAGAATTTGACTTTGTGTTTTTTGAAAGGAATCCAATTAGTTCCACTTACTTCCCCTTTCCGTATATCTTTGTCAAATATAGTCATTGAACCCTGCTTTCCCCACTGTTTCAGGCAGTTTATTTCTTTTTATGAACTTACAGCATTCATATTTTCTCTTATGTCTTTGTTATGATTGAATCTTCCTGTGGTCATCATGTCTGGGAGCAGGAACGCTACCCCTGATGCCACAAAATCTCCAAAAGCCACTTTTAATCAAGTGTTTTGACATACCTTTGGGGCAAATAATACTTGAAGTTAAATTCTACCACTGCACCACAAGACCCCTCCATTTCTCACTTCATGTTGCCAGTAGGTATTTTGGGAATTACCCTAAATCTGTGTCTTTTGGTAACTCGTTCTTTTGCCAATGAAAAGAGTTTTTGAAATATGGCTCCATGTTGCAGAGCTAGTGCATGCATTAGTTATGGTTTTCCAATAATTTCTTGAATGGTCCTAGTCAATATACAGACAAGGAGCAGGAGTGAGCTATCCAACTCGTTAAGTTTGTTCTGCCATTCAATCAGATTATGACCGAATTTGTTTTAGATTTGCAAGAATGCAGGCTTGTGTATTTCCTGAATGTTGACTTGTCATGTGAGTCATGATGTGGAGGTAGCGGTGTTGGACTGTGGTGGACAAAGTCAGAAGTCACAACACCAGGTTGTAGTCCAACTGGTTTTTTTGAAATCACAAGCTTTTGGAGCGTAGCCCCTTCGTCAGGTGAAATAAGAGAGAAGGACACAGACACAGAATTTATAAGCAGAGAGATCAAGTGCAGAAAGTTCAAAAGAACATATAAATGGTGTGAGTGGAGTGTCAAATAATAAGTTTCTGTAGGTGATCAAAAGTGTCAGTCAGTGTAAGTAAAGTGTCAACAGCTGAATAGCAAGGGAAGGGATTTGATTTATTTATTTATCACATACTAAGTATGGGAATATGTAAGTACAGTGAAAAGTGCACAAAGTCGCCATTCACTAGTGCTCACTTGGTTACAAAAACCAGAATTAAAAGATTTAACAGAGCCTAAAGGTAAGCAAGAAAAAAAAATCCAGATCTCGGAGTCCCAAGTCCCATCCGATAAAATGATGCAGAGAGATAATTACAAAAAATTAAAAATAAGGTAGTGCTGGAGACAAACCGAATGACTGTAACAACACAATAGGTATAAGAGGGTAGGTGATGGCCTAGTGGTACTATTGCTAGACTATTAATCCAGAGACCCAGGTAATGTTCTGGGGTCCAGGGTTTCGAATCCTGCCAATAAAATTCTAGAATTAAGAGTCTACTGATGACTATGATATCATTGCTGATTGTCAGGAAAAGCCCATCTGGTTCACTAATGCCCTTTAGGGAAGGAGATCTGCTATCCTTGGACTACATGTGACTCCAGACTCACAGCACTGTGGTTGACTCTTAACTGCCCTCTAGGCAATTAATGTTGAGCAATAAATGCTGCTGCAGCCAGCGATGCCCACATTCCATGAATGAATTTAAAAAAAGTTGCATGCTGAGGATCTAAGCTAAGTAATCCAAAACTGTACAAACTAATTAAGAACTTGACTATCAGTTTCTGCTTGGTGATTCTGCATTGTAGTGTATCTCAAAGGCTGCCTTTGAACTGATAGCCAAGTTTTGTACCCATGAATACAGCCTCAACTGTGATCTTGCTACATGTGACCCCACCACACTGTTCTATATCAGTAAAATCTTTCTTACTGTCCTGTTTTGACACCATCACCTTAATAAATCATTATGATCTTTCTACCTTAATCAGTTTGTACAGTTTTGGATTACTTATTACTTTAGTTAGACTCATACCTTTCATGTTATTACAGTCATTTGGTTTGTCTCCAGCACCACCTTATTTTTAATTTTTTGTAATTATCTCTCTGCCTCATTTAGTCAGATTATAGGTCATCCCTTCACTTGTTATTCAGCTGATGACATTTTACTCACACTGTCTGGCAGTTTTGATCACCTGCGGAGACTTATTACTTAACACTCCACTTACACCATTTGTATGATCTTTTGATCTCTCTGCTTATATATTCTGTGTTTATGTACTTGTCTCACACTTCACCTGGCGATGGGGCTACCCTCCAAAGTTTGTGATTTCAAATAAACTTGTTGGGCTAATAACCTGCTGTGGTGTGACTGCCGACTTGTCACGTGAGGGATGGGGTGCGCTTGGACACGTTACTTTGCGACAGTCCAAACAGCAGGGGGATTGGGGGAAAAGGTCGTGCGGGGGCGCGCCGTGCCTGCGCGCCGCGATGGGAGAGAGGGCACGCGTGCGCGTGCACATTCTGCCCTCGAATGCCCGGCGGCGCGGAGCCTACTCGCTGCCAACGGTTTAAAGGAGCTCCCCCAGCGACAGCGGATTTCCACCATATCACCACCCGGGAAATACAGACTCGGCTTCAGCGGTGTTTCCTCGGGTTTTCGCTTTTAAATCGACAGCAGCAACAAACCCCAGGGCTTACCGGGACATTAGGGGCCGGGCTAAGGCCTCCAAGCCGGGGACTCGCTTGTGATTTGAGGAGGGAAAGAGCGCAACGAGGATCCGGTAGTGACTGGGTGGCGGCATTTCCCCTTTCCTCCCCTCTGCTGCCAGAAGCAAGAAAACTTGTGGTGGTGTGAGATATCGGCATGTCAAACAGCGCAATCCCCCCGCGATGGCTGAATTGTCCCAGGAGAGGACAGCCGGTGGCAGGTGAGTTGTCAGAAATCAGCCATGGTGGGGGCGATGCTTTTGTGGTTGACTCTTAACTGCCCTCTAGGCAATTAATGCGTTTGTTTTTTTTGTTGTTGTCTTTGATTAGTTGCATTGTGCAATAATTCAAAATACTGAGGAGATCAACATCTTGGAAGCTTGAAAACTTGTTCCGTGGTCTAGCTGAATCGCAATGACTTGTTGGGGTGGGGGTTGCTGCAATGTTGTTCAGCATCCAATCATGACCAGGGAGCACGTTTCAAATAAGTTGAAGAAGGAACGTTTTTCACATGTGGATGGGATACTAGGCGTATTAATTAACCTAAATTCTGCTTTACACACTAATTGGTCAGTTCATTCTGGTATGTAGGATGCTTTATTTATAAACTTTCCTTGTAGCTGTCTAAATGTTGTTGAAATTGATTAAAAGAGCATCGTGAGCCAAATCCTCTGATAGTAAAATGCAATATTGGTAGTCTGTTTACGGCAATGTGTGTATCGGAACATAAAGTTTTCAAACACACACTGACGCCTACTAGTGCTTGTAACTGGTGAGTTCACTTGAACCTGATGTAGATGGTTGTACGTAGATTTTTCTTCACCTAGGTACAAGGCCATAAATATGAATATTACAGAATTGAATGGGGCATATGAAATAGGTGCAGAAGTAGACAATTCGGCCTGTAAACCTGCTCTGCTGCATAAACTGTTCGTGTGTTTGTTTGTTTGTTTGTTTGTTTGTTTGTTTGTTTGTTTGTTTTTAGATCCACATTCTTATCTATCTATAATTGATATTTGGTCCCCCAGCCTAACAAGAATCTATTTAGCTCAGCCTTCAAAATATTAAATGACCTTGGCTTCACCATGTTCTGAGGCAGAGAGTTCCAAACTTGTACATCTTCTGAGAGGGAAAAAAATTGTCCTCATCTCTGCGATAGCAAGAACTGCAAATGCTGGAGTCTGAGTCAGAGTCAACACTATGTGGAGTTGGAGGAACACTACAGGTAAGGCACCATCAGAGGAGTAGGAAAGTCGATGTTTCTGGTTCGGGCCCCTTCTTCAGTTCAGGTCCCGACATGAAATGTCGACTTTCGTACTCCTGCGATGCTGCCTGACCTGCTGTGTTGACTTGTCCTCATAACTTTTCAGAACAGATAACCCTTAATTTTGGAACCGTTTCCACTAGAGTCATAGAGTCACAGAGTCATACAGCATGGAAGCAGACCCTTCTGTCTATGCTGATCACAATCCCAGATTAAACTAGTCCCACCTGCCTGAGCTTGGCTCATGTCCCTCCAAACATTTCTTATTCATGTACTTGTCTAAATGTCTTTTAAATGTTGTAACTGTACTTGCAACCACCACTTCCTCTGGAAGTTCATTGCACACATGAGCCACTGTCTGTTTTTTAAAAAAATGCCCCTCTTGTCGTTTTCACATCTTTCTCCTCTCACCTTAAAAATGTGCCCTGTAGTCTTGAAATCCCCCTTCCTAGGGAAAAGACACCTGCCAGTCACCTTATCTATACCCCTCATGATTTTAGGAACCTCTACAGGGTCGCCCCTCAAACTTCTATGCTCCAGTGAAAAAAGTCACAGCCGATCTAGCCTGTTCCCCATAATTCAAACCTCCAGTTACTGGCAACATTATGGCAAATCTCTTCTGAACCGTCACCAGCTTAGTCATAAGCTTCCTATAACAGGGCAACCAGAACTGCACACAGTATTCTAAAAGAGTCTTCACCAATGCCCTGTACAACCTCAACATAACATTCCAACTCCTATACACAAAGGTCTGAGCAATGAAGGAAAATGTGCTAAATGCCTTCTTGATCACCCTATCTATTATATGAGATGCAAACTTCAAAGAATTATATATCTGAACTCAAGTCTCTCAGTTCTGCAATACCACCCAAGGCCCTACCATTATTTATACATTGTTTGTTTTACTAAAATGCAATACCTCGTATTTATCCAAATTAAACTCCATCTGCCACTCTTCAGCCCATTGACCCAATTGATCAAGATCTCTTTGTAATCTTAGATAATCTTCTTCACTGCCCACTGTATCACCAACCTTGGTGTCATCTGCAAGTTTACTAACCATGCCTTCTATATTTTTATCTAAATGATGAGAATGAAATCTAAAAGTGGAGCCAGCATCGATCCCTGTGGAATACTGATGGTCACAGGCTTCCAGTCTGAAAAACAACACTCCACCATCACTCTCTGACTCCTGTAAAGCCAATTTTGAATCCAATTGGCATGCTCACCCTGAATTCCATGTGATCTAACTTTATTAATTACTTTACCATGCAGAACCTTGTCAGAGGCTTTACTAAAGTCCAAGTAAACAATATCTATCACTCTAATAAAAACCAAAAGAACTGCGGATGCTGTAAATCGGGAATGAAAACAAAGTTGCTGGAGAAGCTCAGCAGGTCTGGCAGCATCTGTGAAGGAGAAAACAGAGTTAACGTTTCGGGTCCGGTGACCCTTCCTCAGAACTTTGTTTTTGTTCAATGTCTACCACTCTGAATGCATCAGTCTTCGTGGTTAGTTCCTCAGGAAACTCAATCAAAGTTGTGAGACACGATTTCCCTCACTCAAAACCATGTTGACTATCCCTAACCAATTATAAAGGAAGGGTAGAAAGAGAGGCAAAAGAGGAGGGGCAATGGTGTTTTTGATTCAGGAAAGCATGACTATTCTAACTAGAAAAGGTATTTCTGAGAGAATTGTCATGTGAACATGTATGGGTTGAAATTAGAAATAAACAAGGAATGATCACCTTGATGGGATTGTATATAGATCACCCAATGGTCAGAGGGAAATTGAGAAACAAATATCGAGAGAAATTTCAGATACATGTAAGAATAAAAAGGTTTTAACAGTAGGTGATTAAATTTCCAGACATTGCCTGGGACTACCATGGTGTTAAAGGTTTGAATGGTGAAGAATTTGTTAAATGTCATAAGAGTCATGAGATATACACATGGAAACAGACCCTTTGGTCCAAGCTGACCCGATATCCTGTATCAATCTAGTCCCATTTGCCAGCATTTGGCCCATATCCGTCTAAACCCTTTGTATTCGTATATTTGTTCAGTTGTAATCATACCAGCCTCCAGCACTTCCTCTGGCAGCTCATTCCATACATGCACCAGTGTCTGCGTGAAAACGTTACCCCTTAGGTCCGTTTTATATCTTTGCCCTCTCTCACCTTAAACCTATACCTTCTAGTTTTGGACTGCAGCCCACCCCGGGGAAAGACCTTGGTTATTCACCTTGTTCATGCCCCTCATGATTTTATAAACCTTTATAAAGTCACCCCTCAGCCTCCGACACTCCAGGGAAAATAGCCCCAGCCTATTCAGCCTCTCCCTATAGGTCAAACTCTCCAACCCCGGCAGTATCCTTGTCAATCTTTTCTGAACACTTTCAAGTTTCACAACATCCTTCCTGTAGGAGGGAGACCATTGTACTCTGAGGTAACCGTACTCGCTGTCCACTACACCTCCAATTTTAATGTCATCTGCGAACTTGCTAACCATACCTCCTATGTTCACATCTAAATCATTTATATAAATGATAAAAAGCAGTGGACCCAGCACCAATCCTTGTGGCACACAGTTGATCACGGGCCCTCCAGTCTAAAAAGCGACCCTCGCCACCACCTTCTGTTTTTTTCCTTTGAGCCAGTTTTATATCCAAATAGCTAGTTCCCCCTGTATTCCGTGTGATCTAACCTTGCTAACCAGTCTACCATGATGAACCTTGTTGACTGCCTTACTGAAGTCCATGCTCTGCCCTCATCAACTCTCATCGTTATTCTTTCAAAAAGTCAAGCCAGTTAGTGAGACATGATTTCCCACACACACAGCCATGTTGATTATCCCTAATCAGTCCTTGCCTTTCCAAATAATATGTAAGTCCTGTCCCTCAGGATTTCCTCCAACAACTTGCCCACCATTGATGTCAGGCTCACTGGTCTATAATTCCCTGGCTTTTCCTTACCACCTTAACAAGAACATTTTCTTTATCTATATGTAAATGTTCCTATTAGAGAAAGAGCAAAACCTGACCTTCTCTTTGTTAATAAGACAGGACTCGCCCACAAGAGGAAGCATCCTTTCCACATTCACCTTGTTAAAACCATTCAGTATCAAGTCAGAGTCATACAGCATGGAAACAGACCTTCGGTCCAACTCTAAATTAATCAAGTCCTATTTGCCAACATTTGGCCCATGTCCCTCCAAACTCTTCTAATTCATATACCCATCTATAGTTCCCTGGTTTATACACTTCAGTCACTCCTCTAAACTTCGTTGGGAACAAGCCAAGCCTGTCCAACCTATCCAGGTAACAACCTGCTCATTCCAGATGTCAATCTAGTAAACCACGTCTAAAATGGTTCTAATGGATTTACATCCTTCTTGAAATAGAGACCAAAACTGCATACAGCATTCCAGATGTGGTCTTATAACTGATATGCTTTCTTTTTAAATAAAACCAAAATACTGTGAATATTGGAATTCTGAAACAAAAACAGAAAATGTTGGAGATACTCAGTGGATCTGGCAGCATCTGTGGAGAGAGAAAAAGAATGTTTCGAGTCCAATATCTTCAAGTCAGAAGAAGACATTTCTGTTTAGATATCCTTACTTTCAGTTCCTCTTGAAATATATGTTGGCATCCCACTAGCTATCTGGATTATATGATGTATCTGCATGCTGACTTTTGTGACTCATACACCAGAACATCTAAATTTCTTTGCATCTTGGAATTCTGAAGTTATTATTCGTTTAAGTAATGCTGCTTTTGTTTTATTATTTCCTGCCAAAGCGAACAACTTCATATTTTCGCACATTTATATTCTGTTTGTCAACTTTTTGCTCACTCAATCAGTCCACGTCCACCTGCCATTTTCTTGTGTCTTATTCACAGCATACTTTCCTGGCTATCTTGGTCTTATCTGCAAATTTGGCCCCCGTACCTTTG